ATGAGCTAAAATATGTGCTTCATTTAGAAAAAGTCAGATATTCTAAAAGAAATATTTGACCTCTGAAATACAGAAGCATGATGAAAGTTTGGCCAAATTTCCTGTAATTTGCTTACTTGTCCATTTTTGAAAGTCTGTCAAACTGTTCTAACTACCTTTGGGAAAAGAGAGACTTCAAATTGTATTTTTAGCTCAGTAATCTAATTTTAGGCATAAAATGTTCAGGATCCAAAAAAAAAAATCTCTTTTGAGCTGGATGTAACTTTCAACATGAAATGTTTCAACTCAATTTGGTTTTGTAGATAATCCAGTTACATCCCAAGGCTTATTTTTAAAATACCTATGCCAGATTTTCCCAGTTACAAAACACTGCTCATATTCTTCCAAAATGTGTTTTGATAAGGTTACTTTATTGCAACAGAATGTGTTTATTCTATATAGGAATCTATATTATATTATTTCTAAATGCAGTAAAATGAAGAAAGTTTATATCAAATATATTTTTTATTAAAAATTGAGATTATGTACTCATGCTTACTCCATGTTAAAATAATTACTTTTCTCTAAAGTCACTAGCGAAAGGTCTTTACAGCTCTGAAACAAATTTTCAATATTTCTAGTATTCTTAATTTCATCTTTCTTAATTTCACTTTCACATAGACAGTCCTTGGCTGAGAATTCAAGGAATTACAAACACTCATGGTGGAAACCCACCCCCACCCCCAAAATAGCCTGGGGAGGTATTCTTTCAGGTAGTTCTGCCTTTCATGTTCACTGTCCATCAAAATCTGACTAAAGCAAGAAGCATACCACTTCTTCAGGCTTCCATTTTGCTTCTCAGATCTTCTTTCTTGCACCATCTCTGCATGTGTGCATGTATGTATGTGTTTATGTGGGATTATTTTTATTTAAGTGGAAAGCCATCATTATTATTATTATTATTTTTATTTACGTGAAAAGCCATAAGTTACAAGGGCCAGTGAAGATTTTCCTACATAAATACATAGTTTCCCTCTTTTTGACTGTTTCTTTAAAATAGTAGTGTAATATTTTCATCTCTATTATGAACCCTAGAGAGATTATGTTCACATCAGATGAGAATATTAACATAAAAATCATTGCTATGGAGAGAAGTGCTCAAGACAACTTTAATTGCAGCAATTTGTCTTTAGTAAATACTGAATTTGTAGAAATTATTCATTTTTGGGTAATATATATCTACATAATTTATTATATAACAATTGCATCTCAATAAAGCTGTTCACAAATTACTTCAAGCAACTATGCCACCCTGTTCTGCTTGCTATAACTAGAAGTTTTAAAACTGAGTTGAAAAAGCATATTCTGGGTGTGGGTATGGTTTTGAATTAGCAAACTAGCAAAATTTAAATTAACAAACATGAAGAGTCTGCACATGATGGTTGGCTTTACCCTCATAAAACAATATTGGAAAAATGGAAACTATCAAAAGGGCTAAAAGAAGTTATAAACATGTGATGGAAAATATAGCCATTTATTTCAATAGTGATTTGCTTGTTAATGTACTTGCTTTGTGCTTCAAGGAATTCAAAACTTGGTGCATACAACCAGGAGAATGCCTTCTTCAAGAGATAGCAAATGAGGGCCTCCCTGGTGCACAAGGGGTTAAGCACAGCACTGTGAAGCTGTTGGCAGCCTCTGCAGCATGAGTTCGATCCATGGCCAAGGAGCTACCCATGTGGTGCAGCAGACCTCCCTTGTCTCACCTGCTGCTCCCCTCAGCAGTGTATTTTAGTCAGTTTACCTGTTCTGTTCCCCACTCTGTTTCTGGTGAATCCTCTCACCTGCTGCACCTCTGCCTGTACCCCAGTTCTTATATGCATAAATAAGTAAATCTTTAAAAAAAAAAATGAAATAGCAAATGAGACTCTTTCATCACAGAGCCCTAAGTATCTTCATATTTTATTAATGGCATAAATTAATTCAGTAAATTACAAATTATAAATTATTGCTTTGAGTCTCAAAATAATCCATTTTACTTGGCATGTCCTTAAGGAATAGAGAATAAATAAATAGTTAAAACATTGTGTGACTTCCACATGCTCAGGGTCACTTGTCCCCTGTCCATCTAACCCATCCTGCAGGTAGAGATGGGCTCACCATGGAGGATTACCCAGAGGAGGTAACTGGGTAACTCCGCAGTTACAAAGATAAGCATGAATGATGACAGCTTGGAGGAAAGATGAGTGGGTAAGGAGGAACCAGAAAATGTCAGGTTGTGCCTGATGGGCCTGCTGTTCTTGTTTAAATGGGAGAGAGGTAGAAATGGACTTGAATACGTAGAGGCCTGAGAGACTGCCAGGTTTGTAATCATGACCATCACAATGTGAGGGGAAACTCTGAAAAAAACCTGACCAAGGGCAAGAAAAAAAAAATCAGTGAGTGGTACTTTGAACCCAGGCACTGTCAAAGAGGCCTTCAATTGTAGTAAAGGCCAAAAAGTTTCCTCCAGTGTTTCTTTGTAACCTCAGTATAGAAATAAAGAAGCCCATTTTAGTATTGATTCAGGGTTGACTGGGTTGAGATAAAATTATGTATATACCAAGAATCTGAAGTGTTAGTGTATATTTCAAATGATTAGTCCCCAGTTCAAGCTTGTGGGGAAGGATAGAAAAGGACAAAAACAGTAAGGGAGCCAAAGACAGAAATAGCAGGAGAAAAGGACCTGGTGTCCCTGAGGTTGAAAGCTGGTAGATATGGGCCTGGTTGTGCAGGAGCTGGGCGGAAAATAGGAGTACACGTGTGTGATTTGGGAGTGGAGATGCTAAGCCAGTTCCAGGTGTGATCAAGGGAATTAATGATTGAAATGCAGTGAAGATGTGGTATCAGTGTCATTGCAGTGGTGAGGAGCCATAATTTGCAGAGATAGATTGTTTTATGGGTTTTGTGAGTGGATGTCAGTTTCTGGGAGATGAATGTGGTTACATGAAGGTAAGTTTCCTTTTACGTAAGTGGCTCTTGGTGGCTGTCAAGTGGTGATGGGGTAGGTAGTGATGAAGGAAATTGGAATCTAGAAGTCACAGGGCTGTCTTGTTACTGGATTTTACACCTAATAATGTATAAATAGCAAGATAGAGAAGCATGTCTTTTAACTGTTACAATATTGAAATAGTGATGAGCATAAGTAGTTTTAGAGATATTTATAATTACAATGTGAAATGAAAATGTCTTCATTGATGGAAAGTCAGCGGGCCATTAAATTTTATTGTTTTATTATTTACATTCATAATTGAATAAAATGCTAAATTTTGGTTGGAAGTTAAGGGAAAATGTGGTGGTGGTGTTTTCTGTCACATATCCTCTGCATTCTGTCATGATCCTTTGGTTATAAAACCCAAGTTTAAATGGTACATTTATTATTATATTTATTATATACTATTTTATATAATTCTTACATCATTTTTCATTTTTGTACAATGTATGCATTTTCATTGCACCCCCTCTTATTTTGACCCTGATCCTTCCTCTCCCCACCCACCCACCTCCCCGTAGTGTGTCTCTGGTTTATAGTTGCTTGTTGATTTTGATTTTTACTTTATTATTAGTCTTTCCTGGTCCCTTATTTAGGTTTTCTGAATTCCTGCTATGAGTGAGACCAAGGGATGGTATATTTAGAAGGTATAAACTGAAATTAAACAAAGTGGTTTGTACACGAGGGAGAATTCATAGTCAGGAAGTGGTGGAGAGCTAGTACAGCATCTCCACTCCCTCTGAACCCGGTGACCATAGGAATGAGGGGACTGGAGACAGAGCATGTGCCTCAGTGAAGAGGAGAGTTGTAAGGCTCCTTTGTGATGAAAAGCCATATTTTAAGTCAGAGTAAAGTGGAGAGGAGGCTGAGGCTCTAGCCAAGATGAGCACTGAAGAGGCAGGTGTGAGTCCATAGGGAAGGGAGCAGTGAACTCATGAAAAGGTGAGAAAGGGCAGAGTGGTAGTGAAGGTGTAGGGGTTCATCACTGTTAAGGAACCAGCCTTGAAACCCTGGGCACCCATTAGGCTGAGTCCTGTGATGTTGGAGATCGAGAGTAGCAGTGGCCTGTTCAGTGGGAGCCTACTGAGAAAGTTTTAGCTGTCCCTGAAGAACTGTTCCGGCTGTGGTGTGGACGCCAGAGGTTCAATGCTTTTTACTTCTTTTTTTAAAATCCTCTCTGCTATAGAAAAGAATATATTCAGTCTAGCTATTGATGGAAAAACCTGAAGTCAAAATGAGACACTTGATGCAGGGTGGGGGTGGAGCTTGATGGCTTATAGTAAATCATCAAATGTTATATTCTCCCTACTTCTTTGTTTTTATTGCTGGTACTGAGCACACATAACCATATGAGGGCTGGTGAGTAAAAATAAACTTTAAGATTGTTTCTTTTTAAAGACCAAACTTGTCATTCTACCACCGGGGGCAGGGGGCTGTCTTGGGGGTGTCTGTTAGAGAAAGGAGCTTAACAGAATGAAAGAAAGTTGTAAAGTGTATGTGTTTTGGGGTTAATGAAACTACATAAACTTTCATTTTATATAATTTAATTTTCATTCATTTAATAGAATTTGGTCTTTCTAATTGGGAAATTTATTAAATTTTTAAATAGATGTTAATAGGGTCTCCCTGGTGACCTAAAGATTAAGTCTCCTCGCTATCACCACGAGGATCTGAGTTTGATCCCGGCCAGGGAGCTAACCCACATATGGCCAGCAAACCTCTCCTGTCTGGCCCACTGCTCCCCTCAGCAGTATATTTCAGTAAATCTGCCTGCTCTGTTCCCCATTCTCCCTCTCCACACCACTGGCCTACACCCCAGTTCTTCTATGCAAAAATAAATAAAATCTTAAAAAAGAAAATAGTTGTTAATATGTCAACTTTATCATATACATGGTTAGTCTAATGGTATTTTATTTCTTTAAATTTAACAATGGAATTGTTCATCAGTAGACTGATTCTTTTTGTTTGTGGGTTTTTTTTTTTCTCCTAGGAATTAGCTCTCCGTAGCCAATTACCAGCACTGGAGCAGGATGGTGGGACTCAAAATCCAGTGTCATCTCCTGGGATGTCTCAGGAACTGAGAACAATGACAACCAATAGCTCAGACCCCTTTCTGAACAGGTTGGTAAGAATTGTTACTAGCAGTGTCTGAAAAAGATCATAGCTTTAAGATGATTCTGCTTCATGCTTCTAATAAGCTGTTTGAACATCTGTGTGGGCCAAAACCTATAGCTGTAAAGAAATCTCTCCATAAATGGCAAGTACAATAAAAGCGGAGGATTAAAAAGCCTCTCCTGAGAGAGGAAGTGAGCTGTTGAGACTTGCTGAGGGGATGCTTATGCACAGTCACGTGTGTGCTTTTGCTGGTGCTGTTGACTAACAGTTACTTAAAACTGCAAAATCATGAAGGAACATGTGAACGCCTCTCTGTGAAAGCAGATGAACTGCATCTTAAACCCATTTAGACCTGTATTGTCAGGATCACTGGAGGAATTTTCTACCTGAGTGTTTGATTTGAGCAGTTTCACACAGCAGCCCTGTGAGGCCTTGTGTTCTTAAAGGCTGTGGTTCGAGGAGATAAAATGAAAAGTTGTGCCTCTTTCAAAAATATGGATGAATATTAAAGGTAGTGTTTGAAAATAACATAGCTTAAGGATGCTTTTTACTGAGTTACCACAAATCTTGGGTTTCAGGCAGATTGCAAAAGTATTATTAAATATAATGCTATGTTGAAAACTGTGCAAGCTGAAACAGGTAATATTCTTTGTCTAGAAAGCCGTGTAAAATTAGGCTTGACTAAAATTCACTCTTGTAGGTTGTAAGGTGTCTATGGAGGTTCAGATTTTTCAAATATCGAACAGATACTTTCTGGTCTCCATACTTTTTAACTTTTTTCCTAGCCACTTTGAAAAAACACACTTCTAACAATAAATTTAAAGGTAGATCAGTTTTGGAAAAATCTTATGCTACCCCTCAATTCTTACTAATTGAATTGAAAATTTCATGATGTCAGGAAAAACAAAATACCTTATCCTGCCAAAATATTTGGTCCATTAGAATTTCCCAGCATTTGCTCAGTCTTAAGATGACTTCTGGTGGCCTCATGGGTGGTTCTAGTTTGAAGGCATTCTAAAATGTATTTAAGTTCTGCCAAAAAGCAAATGTATGTGTAAAAGATTATAATTTTGACTTGAAACAGAGGTTATTTAGGAAGACTCTGCCACAGAGCTTTTTTCCACACAAGGAAAATTTCAGATCAATATTATTCCAGTACCCATACTATTGAAGGCCTGTATTGGTCCTCAGATAAAATATGACTGTTTAGAAAAATGGGTAGACTGCTTTTATTGCTTTCAGATAGCCATTTGTGAATATTCTTACTTAAAATTTTTGATGAGAGCTGCACTACAGTGTGAGATTCTGTTTTCTGGTAAAGATCAGAGAGTGGCAACTCATTGGCCTTACTAATCTAAGGGCAGAATCCTGTGTTAAAACACATCTGATTGGAACAGTTCCCTTTTTAAAGACTGTTGATGATTTCCCTATTGCCTGTTTCTGGGTTCTGCATATTCTTTACACTGAACAGATAGTCCCCTACTGTGCCATGGAGTTGACACTTACTGATGGGGCAACATTCCCTCATCTCTCTTTCCTCATGATATTATCGAGGCCAGCTGAGATGCCCCCTCTGCTGCATTTCCAAGCTCCCTCCTCTTAGTTCTGAAAGCATGTGGCTCATATATAATCCTTGTGTATGATTCAGTAGTGTATTTGCTGATCTCCCTTCCCCAGATAGTGAGCCTCTCAGAAAACATTCATTGTAAGTGGTGGTGGTGGCATTGGAATAACCTTTGTATCCTCAGAGCCCATTTTATTTTTTTTTTTTTTTTTTTTTTTTTAAAGATTTATTTATTTATTTATTCATTTATACAAGCACTGGGTACAGTCAGAAGCGCGGGAGGGTGAGAGAATTTACCAGAGCCAGAGCAGGGAGCAGAGCAGGCAGAAGGACCGAAGCACACTGCTGAGGGGAGCAGCGGGCGGCAGGAGAGGTCTGCGCGCCATGTGGGACCCTCCTCCGGTGGCCGGGGAGCAGCTGGGGATTGAACCGGCGCTGCAGAGGCTGCGGGCAGCTTCGCAACCCAGCGCTCAACCGCTGCGCCACCAGGGAGGCCCTCAGAGCCCATTTTAATGCATGTGGGACAGTAGTAGATACTGAGGGCATGCTTATTGAGTACGAGTGGGGGCACACAGGAAATGGGCTTCTGTAAGGAACATTTGCTCTTTATGGAATTGTCCCTGTGAACTCTGTCCTCGGGAATGCTATGTACTTCCCCTGTGGCTTGAAATAAAGCTGCACAACTGTGTAAATCAGTTATTCTGTAACAGAGTCGTGAGTGTCTGATGTGTGCCCAAGCTTAGCAGTGGGAATAATGTCATGACTTGGGCTCAGGGCAGGCAAAATAAAAGCAAACCACATCCTGAGGCCTTCTCCGAAGTTGTTGCATTGTATACAGATAGTCTCAGAGGCAAATTTGTGTTTTTTCATATCTGTGAGTTTTTTGAATCTTGCCAAAATCTAGCCAGAAGTATTTGCGTAAACCAGTAGGTTGTAAGATAGGTTTTTGAGGGGGAGGGAGTACAAGGCAAATGCACTGAGTAATTTGGAGAAGAATTTTGGGGGATGAGTTTTTGACCTTGGGCAACTGTTGTTAAAAGCTTGTTTTTAGAGCTTAGTCATTTTTTTCTTTTTAACGTTTGTATAAGCTAATGTGTCCAAGCTGTGGAACAAGTTGCAGTTGACAACATGGTTAGAGTCCATTAGGACAGCAATTGCTTGTATTTCACACTTTATTTTCTAGAATTACTGGAACCCCAAATTTTAGAGTCAATGCCAACTTAGGAAAGCATTCTATTTATGAAAGTAAAGGTCTAAGGATACATAGGACAAATCTGTCTTGGCTCTTGTTTTCTGTTTTTTATTTCTCAAGTGAGTGCTTTGTCATGTTTCTTTGCTTTTAAATTTTTTTCTTCAATTGCATTATAAGACCTTCTACTGTATGCTGAGGTGTTGGGATTTTCTCCTAAATGGAAGCAGGGATTAAACTTGGGGAGTTCTTATCAGCAGTGACTCATCTGTTTTGGCCCAGTCCAAAAAAGAATTCTGGTTCTTTATTTTGGGTTGATTTTTTTCCGTGGCTTAGACTCTCTGCATGAGAGCTAGGAATTTACTGAGTCTAGTGTGAACCTGTCTCACCGCCCACCTGGAGTCTGTTCTGTTCTGTACTTCCCCCACTCAGGGGACTTAAGGCCTTGAGACAAGTAAGCTGTGTGGATTGCCCAGATTCAAATGGCATTACAGAGAGAATACCTCGACAGAGGATTTTCTTTCAGCTATAAAAATGGTGTCCTTTTTCCCCCTTATTGTCACCAAGCCCAGGACCTTAGATTTTGGCCCCTTAAAGCTGCCAGCATCAATTAGGATTAACTTGCCTGTGACTTTATAGTAGTGGGCTGTGGATGGGCCCTGAAGGAGGGTACTGGGTCTGGACATTGCCACAGGGATGTTCATTGATCCTCTTTGAGACTCCCGCTGGTCCTCAGCTGGTGTTTCTTACCACCTTGGGATCATGTTAAACATGTTTTGTATTGGTCTTTCCCTCTCGTTCTTTGTAGTGGCACCTACCACTCTCGAGATGAGAGCACGGACAGCGGGCTGAGCATGAGCAGCTACAGTGTGCCTCGAACCCCAGATGACTTCTTGAACAGTGTTGACGAGATGGATACAGGTTGGGTTCAGTTGGATACTGTCATTTTTATTACAGATGTAATGAGCGATTGTGAAGAGGGGTCATTCAGAAGAAAACCCACTGAAATTCTGTTAACTTCAGTTCAAATCAAGCCTGCTTCATTTTTACATGGCACTCTGTAATTTAAGTCTTTTCCTAGTTGTTAAATATTGTGGCTATCTTAACTCTTTTTGAACAAAACAGGTAATATGACTTCTTTGAGCTCTTAAAGTATTAAGCCAATTGGTGAAGCAGTTGAGGACCCTATCATTGTGTATTTGTATTCTTAATTTGGAATGAGGTTTCTATGTAGAAGTCAGTGTCTGCCTCCCTCTTTTCTCTTGGGTTTCTAGTCCAGCAGGGAATAGGGCTCAGGAAACCATGTGGGAAAGGCTATGTGCTGTGGTGGGACTCTCTTATTTAACTGTTGGAATAGTTGCAGGAGTCTCGAAGGAGCTAAGAAATATCTCCTGCCTCACAGGAGTAACTATGGAATCATTTCTCAAACTGTGGCCTTTGATTATCCCGGACTTGGCAACTACCAGGCTATGAGTTGGCAGGGAAATGACACTGTTCGCCAGCTAGCTAGTTCTTTAGCTGACAACTTCTGAGAGTGTCTGGCACGCCTTTTGAGCCTGTGCTCATCAGCTCACAGCTGTGATGCTTCCTAAAACCCAACCCCAACCCCTCTGCTTACCTAAATCTTAAATCATCCTTAGAAGTCACTGCAACTCTGTTTCATTCACACCTTTCCTTGCTCTTCTCCTCCCTATTCTCTCTTCTCATCCCCTAGAGCACTTAATGGTTCATGTACACTTTTTCTGGAAGTATATTCCACTGAAATCCTAAGGAATGTTAATGTTTCAAAATATCATGTGCAAAAAAGATTCTGTGGCCAAATAAGTTTGGGACACTTGTTAGTGAATGGGAGTCTCCAGGAGTGGAAAACAGTTTTATCCAGTCTTTTTGTTTCATTCTAGTGTCCCCCAAAGTATACTTAAGGCTCTGTGCCATCTCTTTTTCTTTTTCTTTTCCTTGTGGGAGTGAATGTCTGCAGAAGTCAAGCAGTGCAGCTGTTGTGCAGCAGATTTGCTTATCCTTTCTCTTCCTGTAAAATTTTTCAGGGAATTTTTTTTTTCCATGACCTTCTTCAGTGGTCAGCACATGGTAATAATCAAATTATTGGTTGATGATCTGAAAAATGTTGAAGCAAAAGTACACTTGGTGTACCTCTTTGATTTTTGGTTGTTTGACCTCAGATGAACTCTGACCTTTTAGGAGGTCAGATTGCAGTGTTCTCTCTGTACACATGATATGACTCTGCTGCAGCTTTCCCAAGAGGACCTGATTGTCTCTCTCTGCTCCCACTAGGTGATACAATCAACCAAAGCACCCTACCCTCACAACAGAACCGTTTTCCAGACTACCTGGAGGCCCTTCCTGGAACAAATGTGGACCTTGGAACACTGGAGGGAGATGGAATGAACATAGAAGGAGAGGAGTTGATGCCAAGTCTGCAGGAAGCTTTGAGCTCTGACATCCTTAATGACATGGAGTCCGTTTTGGCTGCCACCAAGCTAGATAAAGAAAGCTTTCTTACATGGTTATAGAGCCCCTCAGGTAGACTGCATTCATAATCTGTGAAGGATCTAAGGAGATAAGACATATATACCTGAAGTTTCCAAATAAGCCAGTTGGCAATATTCTGGCTAATACAGAAAAAGATGAACAAACGTCCAGCAAGATTCTTTCATCCACTATTTTGTTCTTCCTTGTCCATTGCTGCTGTTAATATATTGCTGACCTCTTACATAGTTGGCCCTAAAGAATCAAAAAACCCTTTTTTGTTTCTTTTGCTATTATAACTACTGTTTGTTTGGGGGCTGGGGGAAGTGAGCCTGTTTGGATGATGGATGCCATTCCTTTTGCCCAGTTAGGTGGTCACCGATCATTTTAACTACACACTCAGACTTGGAAGTCAAATGCTTCATGTCACAGCATTTAGTTTGTTCAAGCAATTGTTTCTTCAGCTGCCTTTGACCAGTAGAAAAGCATGACTTACTGGTCTGACAAGCCAAAAATGTTGTATCTGATATTAAGTTCTTAATGGTGATTTGAAGAGATAGCTGAAACCAAGGCTGAAGACTGTTTTACTTTCAGTGTTGTTTTTCCCTACTAGTGCTATGATTAGTCACATAGTGACCTTGATTTTATTTTAGGAGCTTATAAGGCATGAGACAATTTCCATAGAAATATATTAATTATTGCCACATACTCTAGTATAGGTTTTGGTGGGTTTTACTGTGGGTTTATTTTGTTTTGCTTTGTTTTGGTTGGATTTTTTAGTTCCCACTACCCCCACCCAACCAGCCTAGGCAAATTACCGTAGTAGTAAATCTGTTTATAGTTGTAGCACAGGATGGTTATTGTAGTTCCTTTGGTAAAAATCTACATTTCCTAATTGTTTTTACCATTTTATTTAAATCTTGATTATCTGCTCTCTTTCATGTATACCCACACACACACTTAGAATGTTTATCATAGTGTGATAGCAGAATGTATCTTTTTTTCCTAGCTTTCCCTACTTTCTAGTTTATTTTAAAGTGGTAGATTTGAATGTATGCGTTTAGAATACATGATTAGTAGTTTATATTTCATAGTTGGAGCAGTTTATGTCTGTTGGGGCTGTCTTCAGGTTTGAGGTAGTTTAGGGATTAGTGCCTAGAGGAGTACTGTGTACGCTCTGGGTGTACGGTAATGTTACTTAATGAATTTGAAAGAAGTAAACAAGAAATGGCTTTATTTTCCCCTTATTACTCCCTTGGACTAATGGTAAGTCTTGATGGGAAATCGAGTAGGTTCATAATGTACATGACAAAATAAACTTTTTATATAGTGGTTTTACCTTCCTTTAGCTTTGAAAGTTTACCTTCACCTTAGTTTTGGAAATAAATTCTAGTACTTTTGCTCTCACTTGCAATGAATGCATTGAAGACTAGATTGAAATATTGCTTACAAGATTGTTCTTACTTGCTCCTACTTCTGTATGCTGAGAATTTACCCCTGGGCAGTATATAAGATACTGTAAGGTCTGAGTTAGCTAGTAAAGTGATCAGATTAATAGATGTATATTAGTAGTTAAATTTAGCAAAGAAATAGAGATAATCATGATTATCCTTTTATTTTTCCAGGAAGAGATATAACTAGAGTATGTATCTACGGGAGTAATAATGGTTTCCAAAGAGTATTTTTTAAAGGAACAAAATGAGCATGAATCAACTCTTCAGTATAAGCTATGAAGTAATGGTTGGTTATGATTATGGTGGCACCAGCTGGCCACTTCTGTGATTAAGGGTCTTTCAGTATTTCTAGAATAAGCCCTTATTTTCTAGGGTTTATAACAGACATAAAAGCATCCCCCTCCCCGCCCCCAGCCCCGGCTAAAACTGCTATGAAAAACCTCAGCTTGGGGAAATAGGGTGTTGGGTTTTTTTTTTCCCCTAATTACAAAATCCAAGTATTCTGACCCTTCAGTTTAGAGGTGTGCGAAAGTTGGAAGGAAGTTTTATATTGTGTTCAGCGCTCAAAAATAATGCAATCACTGTTGTATATTATGATTCATAGGTTGATCATTCGTAATAATCGACTAAGGCTTTTATTAAGAACAGCAGAAAGATTAAATCTTGAGTTAAGTCTGAGGTGAAATGGCCACTGTTCAAGATGCATTGATTCTTTTTTTAGAGTAATCATGAAATTCTACCTAGAATACGTAATTGAGTATGTGAATGCTACAGCATGTTGGTTGTTTCATGTGTAGAAGATCGAAGCTACTTGGAAGGAGTGCCTGCAGTTTGCCAGTAAGCCACAAATTTATAATGATCTTATATATCAGTAAAGTAGGTTTAGATTAGGGGAGGGTGGGAAAGTAGGACAGGATTTGTGAAGACTTAGCGGGACCTTGATAGAGAACTTTATAAGCTTCTTTTCCTTAATAAAGACTTGTCTTGCGTCTAGCTGTCACTAAAGGCAGTTGTTCCTAAAATTTCAATCACTTTTAAGTGCACCCACAGAACTAGAACATGGAGTTCTTCATTCCCCCTCAACTTTAATTTGTCCAGTTATACCTCAATGTTGTAGTGGCACCGTGGCCTCTAACACAGTGCTCTGATATTGTGTACTCCATACTGACCTGAAGGAGACCTGAGAGTCTTCTCTTCCCAAATTTGAATCACAGCCTTGATGTGGTCTTTCTTGTTTAATGTCCTTGTTTTTAATGTAAAAGTGTTTAACTGCTTCTTGGTTGTATTGGGTAGCATTGGGATAAGATTTTAACTGGGTATTCTTGAATTGCTTTTACAATAAACCAGTTTTATAATCTTTAATTTTATCAACTTTTTACATTTGTGTTCTTTTCAGTTAGGGCTTCTTAAATCTGCTATATTTGATGGAGCACATTGATTTGGAGTTTCAGATTTTCCAAAGCACTATTTGCTTATCGTAACTATTTTCTAAATATAGTGCCTCCTTAAAAAAGAAAGACATAGAGAAATGACATTTATAATGTTGCTGTTTCAAGTGTTCATGGTAAATAGAATCTTGGCAGAAAGAGAACAGTTACATGTAATTCATAACTCCTACCAATCAGTGTTGAGACTCAAATAATGCAAAAGTGCAAGGCAGAATCCAGTGATGAACAGCTCATTAACTTTTGCACCTCTGAGAAATGAGTGCTCAGATGAATTTTATCTTCTACAAGCATGTTTTTATAAGAATTGTTGGGTGTGCCTATCTTAACAATTGTTTTCTTTATCTTGAAAAATTATTCTCCACATTTTAAATGTTTTATATTAGAGAATTCTTTAATGCACACTTGTCAGATATATATATATAGTACCAATGTTACCTTTTTATTTTTTGTTTTAGATGTAAGAGCATGCTCATATGTTAGGTACTTACATAAATTGTTACATTATTTTTTCTTGTGTAATACCATTTTTTGTTTGTTTATGTTGTTCAAATATATTCTTTCTTAAACTCTCTTTTGTTGTTTTTAACAATTGGTAATATTTATAACTTTTGACTTTTTAGTGGTCTTCCAATATAGCAAGTCCTAGTAATAAAAAGAAATACAAGGTGATTAAATAATAACTGAGACAGGCTAAACTTTAGATTCCCTTTTTTTGGAATTTGGGGGGTTTGCAGAATGGGTATAATTCTTGGAACTTCATGTTCTGTGTTATTCATGTAGAATTGTGTCACCTTCATTCTTTATGACATTAAGACACAGCGAATCTGATAGTCTTTGAAAATAGCCTTTGGTTGTATTTCTCTAAATTATTATCATGGTCTCCAAAATACAATATTTATATTAATACAATACTTATATTAAAGGGCAATTGCTATTGTTTCATTCCCAAATTTAAGTGGTAGGTCCTGAGCTTTAAATAAGAGTTGCATGTCTTTGAAATATTTCCTTTCTGTGTTTTTGTCTATAATACCTTTACTTACTACATGTCTGTTTGGGTGAGGCAAATCTGAAAACTCTTATTTTGCTGTGTATAATTTTATTTTTACAGTGGTAGAGAAAATTTAATTTTTTGGAACTTAAATTGATCATTTCCATTTTCTTGTGCAAAATGTAATACAGCCGTACGTACATCTTAGGTCAAAACCATACCGAATATCTGTAGACATCACATCTCTTACAGGGAGTTGCTTTTCAAGGCCATGTGCTTGCTGGTACATGGCTTGAAGTCCAGTAAGTGGATCTCTCATCAGAATCCTGGGTACCAGAATTGTATCACCGTTAGATAACTGATCCAGTTAGATAACTGATTCAGCAGAATGCTCAAACGATTAAATGTACTAACTTGGATTTGGGAGGAATAGCTTCTGGAGAGACCAAAAATGGCCTTCTTAAATATTTGAGAAGATTAATAGTCTTACTTAGAACCTGATATTGAGTAACTTACGTGTTTATCTTAGAAAGCGAAAGACAGAAAATGAATCATCCAGCTCTAAGATAAACAGAAAAATGTTTTTTAAGAGAAAGAGTGGCAGCTAGTAATCAACTGTAGAGTGGTCCGTGGACCTAATCCTCCCATCCTATTTTCTTATTTTCTGAAATGGCAACCATCAATTCTATGAAGTCTGGGTTTATTTAGTGTCTCTCTTGGGCTCCGGGGTTCCACTTGCCTCTGCTGCTGTGATAGGCCAGAAATCTGGCAGGATAGCAGCCATGTTGTCCCTACTCTATAAGTTGTTGGTATTTAGTCACCTTAACAATCATGATACACTTAACAGTTGTTTTATTACTCTGAATTTTTAACTGACTTTATGGAAATAGAAAACTAAGTTAGGTGGTCTGACCCTGGTGGAAGTTTAAAAAAAACAACCTGCCATCTGTGTATAATTCAGGACAGTAGTTGAAAATCTCTGAACATAGCCTCAACTTCTGTAAAATTCCTGAGCTATTCTGTTACTTCGAATGATTTTAAAAGAAGTGATACTGTAACTTGAGTTACAGTGTCTACACTGTAGTTGTAGTTAACTACAACTCTAGTTAACTAGAGTTGCTGTAACTTTGTGAACCTGGTAATAGTTTTCACCTCAGAGTAGGTAAGTAGACAGGACTGGAATCTCAGTAAAGGAATTTCTCAGAAACAACAAAAGAGAGAGAAAGCAATCTCTAAGCCATAAGGATACCCTTTAATTAACTCGAGTCTAGAAAACAATTTCAGTAGGACTGGCCACAGAAGAATACAGACTTGACATTTGCTTGTCTTTTACATTCTAAACCATGACAACATGTAGCGCTCCTGTATTCTAGGCCAAGGGATTTCTCTGGAATTCTGCATTGGGATTTGTAGAAGACCAGCATGAGCCCATGTGCTGCCCAGTCCAAAGACAGACAAAATGCCTTATGGGACACGTGTGTGTATATGCAGCCAGCTCCGAACTCCCTGCTGGAAGGTACACCACTGATCTAGAATGGAGTGCCAGGCCCTGGCCAAATGTGGAATATTGTTTAGAAATATTAACACAACGTAAACTAAAAATTGCTGACAATCCCTATCAGTCTTGCAACATTATTAAAACAAAATACTCAAGGTCTGAACATTTCCAAAGTTCTTAGGGTTTTTTGTATCCTGCTTAACTATGGCAAATTATTTTTATCAAGTTGATGTCCCACTGCTCTCCCTTACTGTGGAACTTGAAGACTCACTTTTTTCCATCATAGGCAAAGTGAAGATACTGTAATTTTCACAATCACCAACATTGGTTATAAGGATCACAACAAAAATGTTACAAAAGTACACTTGACACCCTTTTTTATTATCATGAAGTGTTTCTCAGCATCATCCTGTATAGAGGCTTAGGTTGTTACTGAATAATTCAAAATGGTCCTTCAAACTTAAGGTCTGTTCCATGTGTTTCCATAGGTATATAAGGCTAAGTATGCTGTTTTCAATAACAATGAAATTTCAGTTCTCTTAGAGTATGTATACATTACCTTATTTGAGCATACTGAATCTTGTAAGATATATTATAACTATACTATTCCCAACTGCTTCAAACCTAGGTCAAATGCTAGCCTATGGTTATTGCAGCTGTCCGTTTTTAAAAACCGTGTGTAAAATAGACGGTCAAGTAATGTTCTAGTGTTGCGTAATAAATGGCATGGTAATTTCCTCAAGTTCATTAAAAAATAGGAGTGTTAGTACTGAAGTAGCTTACACATTGTGCCATGAGTACAGATTCTATGGGGAAATTATTTCCTCCTGGCATCATCAGGGAAGGCCTCATACTAATGGTATGTTAATGGGGTATTGAATGGTTGTGAGTAACCAATATGATGTTACTGGCAGTGGGACGCACATGAGACAGAACAACTTTAACCCAGGAATGGCAGTATTTATTTGGCTGGACTAAACATATATTGGATTAACTCATCCACCAAATATTTGAGTGGTATATGACAGGCACTGTTCCAGGACCTGGAGATACAGTAAATAAATCAGACATGAACCTGTGCCCTCATGGCATGATCTACACTCTAAACATCAAGTCCAGATAATATAATTGAATGCTTACTATGCCAGGCACTTTCCCAAGCCTCTCCTTAACTCTTTTCAATCCAATAAGGTAGGTATTATACAGGTTTTACAGATAAAGCGGCAGAGGTCACACACCTTTGAGAAGAGGGTTTGCAGAGTCTGGCTCCAGAGTCTGATCTCTGTGGCTTGGATTCCTGTATAGAGGCTTAGGTTGTTACTGAATAATTCAAAATGGTCCTTCAAACTTAATGTCTGCTCCATGTGTTTCCTGGGTGAGAAATGAGCACCAATGAGCAATGAAGACCTTTGAAGTTCTTTTAAACTAGAATAATACTATGAAAAAAGTGATTTCTTTTATATAGGCTATGAAAACTTAAGGAAGTTGCTGAATTTATCAAAACGGTAACAAAAATGAGCTAGACATGCTGGTGGTAAGAGAAAAAGTAGGTATCTGTGTGCACATTCCCAAACATAAACAGTGAACTCAGAAACCTTTGAGTAGCTCCCAATTTTTTTCTCCGAAAACTGGAAGACAGGAAGAGGAGTGATGATTTTGAAGACAACAGGATTGGTTTCTCTCCCAACTGCTTCCCCCAGATAGATATGTCTGACCAAGCAGTCAGTACTATACAATAGATATGTTTATCAAAAGGTAGAAATTAGGCACACTGATATCTGAGATTTCCTGATTTGTAAAACTTACTTCAAGGGAAGAGAAACCATGGAAGTTCCAATCTCCTGAGGCTAAGAAGAACAACTACTCCAAGGTGGTGGGGGTGGGACGTCCTTGAACAGGAATAGGCCAACTAAAAATACAAGGCTGAAGAAAACTAAAGTCATAGGTGGGCTCCTAGCAACATGAGTGTTGTAGAGACATCACTGAAGGGCAGTGTTGTGTGAGCAGAAGCAACATTTAAAATATCTTAAAGTACCACTGGAGTCTAACTTGTGCCCGAGTCCAGTGGCCGCAGAAAGACCCTGAGACCTACACCGACAGGTAGTTCTAGAAGTTTTGAAGATGGGCCAGAGAGAGATGGGACCTGAGTGACAGGGTGACGAGTTTCCTTCACAAATTATTCCTCCAGGGAGAAGTCCATTGTCTCAGGAATCTTGATTCATAAGACTGAATCGGTCAGAAAGAAGAGAAAGGTATTTATGGAGGGAAAGCAAAACAAAAATCCAGGGTCTTCAGAGAATAAGTCTGCCCATGTGGGATAAAGTATTACTTGTTCAGTGAATATGTATTAAGCACTTACCAGATATAGGGTGTGGTGCTAGGTGTGAAGCTACAGCAATGGCAGAAAACACTGTCCTCGGCACTGTCTTAAGGAAGAGAGCTGAGAGGTGTTAGATATCTACTATGACTAAACACTTAACCAATAGAGTGTGGGAATGTGGTTGATGTAGTCAGGGAGGCCTCTGAGGATGAGTGAAAGTTTGTTGGGATTGGACCAGGGAGCTTGTCCTGCCAGAGAGTTGAAGAGCTTGGTCCCACAACCTTGAATGGAAAGAACTCTGTCAGCCCTGAAGAAAATACAACCCCAAACAGCTGATGTGATTAGAACACAGTGAGTGGAGTGCCTGGTGGATAGGAGGGACAGCGTGGGTACTGCTGAGGATTGGGAGGCCATGGAGACTTGTGCATGGGGGATGGTGTGGCCACCCAATCTGCTGAGGTAATGGGAGTGGCTGTGTGACAGCATCCTCCAGGTAGACAGGAAGCTACTGTGGAGTCCAGGGCAGAGGAGTGGAGGTTTGCTCTCTGGTGGGAGGTGAAAGCAATAGGCTGGCTGACTGGATGTGAGAGATAAGGAAGAGAGAGGATGCAGAAAAGGAGGAGCAGGTCTGGGGAGAAACATCCCAGACCAAAAATGTGTTGGGTAGAGACTGCTACCCAGCCCAAAGAGAGGGTGTTGCTGTATTACTAGTTTGTGTGAAGTCACCAACTAGATGGTGAACTTAATGGCAACTTGGGAGTGGGTTGAGTCCCATTAAACTCTTAACCCAGGAAACCACAAATACTTAGACCAGCCCACTATTGTCAAATCAAGAGCAAAACCAGAAGAAGCTAGAACTAGTGCATGGCAGTCCCATATGGACAACAGTTGAAAAGAATTGCCATGCCACAATTTTTAATGCCATGTTAAGTCCCAGCAGAACATATCTGTATGAAGTTAAAATGAAAACTCAAGGGTTTACCCATAGATGCTGATTTAAAATAATATAAGCACAAAGAGAATGTTGGCAATTGTGTTATTTCATCTCTAATAGGAATTGATCTCACTCCTTGAATTGGTTTTGTATATTTTAAATTGATCGGAGCACCATGTGTGTTTGATTAGCGCTTCATGCCCTGTTTTCACCATGCTGGGGGCTGTATAACCGTGGCCTCTGTCCAGCTAGAAGGATGAACTGCCAGGCCAGGAAGCCTCCCTTGATGGATACAGTTAGGGCAAAGGCCAGGCTGGCTGAGTGAGAAGTCATATGATTCCTTTTTATTTGAAAGCCCCAGTGCTTAAAATGGACCCCTGGCATTCTCTTTATTCCCCAAAATGGACATCCAGGGGTGAGGAGACTAGGGTTTGGTGCTCCCCTCTCCCTTGGCCTCAGCTCTGCATTTTCCTTTGGGCCAAAGTATAAATGGCAGCTAGTTTCCAGCACGCCTTGCCAGCCGACGTGGCTGCTCAACTATCCAAGGCTAAGACTAACAGCTCCCTGAACCAACTAGGCGTGGGGGGCTACCAGAGTTTCATGGGCTCTTGGTGAGGTGAGAGCCTGGAAACCCAATGGGGGCTGGGCAGCCTGGATGAGGTCACATGGTCGTGATGGGAGCCTGGATTGTGAGGGTCACAGAAGCTGGGAAAAAAAAAAAAAACGGTATCAAATGGACCTCATCCATGTTTCAAGCCCAGAGAACTGAAGCCCGCTTTGGAGAAGAATGACCCAGGAGCTGGAGGTGACTCACTCCAATGCACACAGCCAAAGATGGCAAAGCCAGGAACAGAACTCCCAGCAAATTCCTCCTACAGCCACATTGTGTAAAAACAGTCCAGGCTCCCCAAAACAGCTTATGGTTCCTGTATACAGAGTAGGAAAGCTCACACCTCAGGACAGCTAGGACAACGACTGATGGACACGATAGAGCCAGCCCTCCCATTTTGGGCATTTTCCAGCGTTCTATGTCTACTGGGGGTGGGGGTGTCCCTGGCATCACCCAGGCTTCTAAGACATTTCTCTCTGCCTCTGTCTCCTCTTTGTCTTCCACATATGCAATTTAATTTATGTAAGTTGAATGGGTGGTGAGGACCCTACCATAGGCCAAGAACTGTACCGGCCAAGGGAACAGTACCACTGCTGCTGCCACTGCTGATAGCAACAGAAAAACGCTAAGAACTGAATGTGTCCAGACACTATTGTGGGAGCTTTATTAACTCATTTAACACCAGTGATAAGTAAGTCTGTCCCCTGCTCTCAAGATGCTCATCTTTTAGGAAGAGTTCCTAAATCCTCGCTGACATCACAGTTCCCTAAAGAGCTTTTAAAACACCCTGATGTGTAGATTGCATCCCCAGAATTTTGCTTTGACAGGACAGGGGTAGTGCTTTGAGGGTTTCTTCAGGGATCTCTAGACAACTAGTATAGCCAGGACTGAGACCCCCAGAAGCAGGGAAAGGGGCAGACCAGTAAGCCAGCAGCTGCATGTGCCGCAGTGACACATGAGCCTCAGGGAAGACACAGCGGGGCACCAACATAGGAAGAGACTCCCAAGGAGGTGAAGCCTGAGTCACTGTCAAGTCACTAGATCCAAGTCACTGACCAAAGTGTCTTCAGAGGGAGTCTGTACCCATGGGGCTTCTTGGACTTGCAGCTCCCATGTGGCCCCATCCCAGCTGGACCTTCTTTGTTGTTGTAAAGAACCTGAGCCAGCGAAAGTCAAGCTAGAACTCCTGAGGGTAAGGTTCCCCCCATGCAGCCAAGCACTGGTTTTCAAACCCAACAGGAGGTACTGTCCCCAAATGGATCTGGGGCTCAACAGCTCAGTGTCTTTCCGGAAAGGACTGGTCAGGGGGAAGGGAGCTGGCTAGTTTGAGGAACTTTCCTTCTGGGCAAAGCATAATGGAGCATAATCTGTAGGGGGAGAGCTGGAGTCTTGATCCAAGAATTGATTTATATTTCAGCTGTGTTTAAGATCCAAGGATTTTATGTGCTGGCATAACATTGCTTTGATGGGTAAATTTATTCTGGTTCCAAACAACCAGAAAGCAAAGAATTCTTGGCATATAATCCAACCATGAAAATCAAGTCTAGGTAGACAAATATCATCCAAGACAGGAATCAGAATTGATAAGGGCCATGAATATGAAATATAAATGCATTAATATTGAAATTCATAATGACCTAATGTGTGCCATACACAAAATTGTTTTAACACATGCAACAAAATGGGGTGGGGTTACAAATTTTACTTGAAAACGTTTTGCAAATTGGCTAAAACTAAACTTTTCAGGCTGTCATTTATGTATTTTGAAAGCAAACTCATGACAATGGTTGGAACAATGGCTGGTCACACAGAGAGAGTCCTTAGTCCTAGAAAAGGGAGAAGTGGGCTTCAGAGACCTCCTCAGAGCCAGGGGTCAGAGTGGCAGACTCTTCCACTGTTATGCCTTGACTAACTCAGCTGCCTGGTGACCACAAAGAACAGGGGTGGAAGACCCAGTTTGAAGCCATCTAACAGGATACTAGTAGGTTCCAGTTCTAGGAGCTTATCCCCATAGAGAAATCAAGATATGTGCAAAAAAAATCTGGAAATGACCTAGATTTCCAAAATGAGAGCTTGGTTCAATTAATTATTCATATAATGAATGAAATACCAGGCAACTCTTGGGGAATGATGTTGAGGAAGCATATTAAATGACATGGAAAAGTATAATATTGTAAACTGCTTGAAAAATGAGATTACAAAACGATGTGTCTAGAGCCTACAGGACTGCAAAACAGTAATAATGTGTACATTTTATGTGTCTATATATAGAAAGTTGAAAAAGATGAAAAAATAGGTAAATACATTTTTTAAAGAGAATTATATACAAAGTGACTACATAGGCTATCTCTGAGTGGCAGGATTGTATGTAATTTTTATATCTTTTCATCTATCTGTATTTGATCATTTCTCTAAAATGAGTGTGTATTACTTTCATTAAGTTAAAATATATAACTAAAGAAACTTCAGGGCCTCCCTGGTGGCGCATGGGGTTAAAACGCAGCATATGAAGCTATCTGCAGCCTCTGCAGCACGAGATCGATCCCCGGCTGGCCAGTGAGAAACCCACATGACGCAGCAGACCTCTCCTGACTCACCCGCTGCTCCCCTCAGCAGTATGTTTCAGTCAGTCTGCCTGTTCTGCTCCCCACTCTGTCTCTGGTGAATCCTCTCACTCTTCACACCTCTGGCCTGCACCCCAGTTCTTGTATGTAATAAATAAATCTTAAAAAAAAAAAAAAAGAAACTTCAAACTTGGATGCCCAGAAATTTTTAGCAGGTCAAATTCACAAATTGGGTGATTGACTGGAAGTGGAAGGTCAAGGAGGTGAAGAAGTCAAAACTTCAGAGTTATTTTTATTTCCATGGAACTTTTTAATCTAAATTAACAGACTCCTTAAGTTCTTTTTTTTTTTTTTTTTTACTGTGTGTATTTTTATTTATTTATTTATTTTTTAAATATTAAATTTTATTTTCATATTCCCCCATACAATTGCAAACGCCCCATTCTGACCCCAATCCTTCCCCTCCCGCCCCCCACCCCCCAAAAAGTGTCTCTGGTTCAT